ATTAACATGAATTTTGGAAGAGTTAATAAGCAAGGAGGATGATTTTGGAATATTTGTTTGATAAATGGGACAAAGCCCCATATATTTTTTTTTTCTTGAATGAAAAGCTAGCAAATACTGTTTAAAAAAATTATAGTCTTTGAAGTTAATCAGAGAAATAAAGGAGGGGCTTTTCTTGTTGCTTGCAAATTGTAAATTGCAGTTATTTGCAATCATGCTTATAACTGGTGTGGGTTCATGTGCATAATCAGCTGCTTTTTGAATACATGTTCTATTGTTCTGTTTTATTTATGGATTCGCTTGTTATGAGAAAGATGTTATGAAGCTGTTTGGATGAATTCTTGGAATTGTCTTTTAAGAGCTTTGAAAATCAGCGTGTGTCTGGAGTTTGGGGTACAAACCGGGACTGTGGGTAGCACTGAAAATTTAGATGAAAATGTTGAGGGGTTTTCAGTCTCAAAATGGAAGGTCAAATTCTGGTTTTGGACTTTGAGGTGCATGAACCAGCAAAATTCTGCAGTGACACAGACACACCATTTCTGTCCTGCTGAAATGCAGCAAGATCCAAAAGCCCTGAGGTCAGGAGTCATCCCACCAATTCCAGCATCTGGATCTGTCACCAGTCTGATCTGACCCACTCCTGGCGGGACAGGAGGCTGAATTTCTACCTCCAGTCTCCCTGCACCAGTGATGTGGCAGAAGATTTTGGTGACAATTACCAGTCAGAAGGGTAATGCTGGTGAGTTTGCCAATGTAATTATTTTTCTTAATAGTTATACTTATCATCATAGAATCACAGAATGCCCTCAGCTGGAAGGGACCCACAAGGATCACAGTCCAACTCCTGGTTCTGTGCAGGACATCTCCAAGAGTCACATCTGTGAACAAGAGCTTTGTCCAAACACTTCTTGCTCTGTCAGGTTTGGTGCTGTGCCCTGGGGAGCCTGTTCAGTGCCCAACCACCCTGTGAGTGAAGAATCTTTTTCTAAATCCAACCTAAACCTCCCCTGACACAACTTCAGACCATTCCCTCAGGTTCTGTCACTGTCACATAAAGCAGAGATCAGTGCCTGCCCCTCCTCTGTGTTTGTAAATACACAGTGATGCAGGTCTGCAGTTTTTTTGGGACCACTGACAATGCTGAACATATGTCATTGTCATTTCCTTCTATTCTCAGTGACAGATTATTTTTCTTTTCCCTATGTACCTTTCAATAAAAGCAATATTTTGGCTGAAAGCAAGAGACAGGAGATGAACTTTAACATCACTCAGTTCTAGCTGGATTTCTGTGGAAGGCACAATGAGTATTTTGCATGCATAGTGATGTGCACAGAGTGTGCTGCCTTCTCAGCCTTGTGGGAAAGTGCCTTTTGCTCAGACTTCCCACATAAACTTCTTTACTTGGGGCTTTGTCCCTCCTCCTGTCCAGTGGGAACCATTATTTTAAATCTATTTTGTTAGGTCAATCATCATGTTCAACAGAAGACAATAGATCTCCAGAAGACGTGCATATGGCAGAACAACACTGTGCCATGTGCAGCTGTAGCCCTTCTAGATTGCGTTAAAATTCAGCATCAGCTCTCTAAAAAATAATTAGTTTTTCAATAAGAAGGAAATAAACTGGTTGGTTAGGTAGTATGCAGAGAGCTTTTAATTAAAAGATGTTTAAATCTGATTCTCTCAACTGTTAAAGAATTGAATTCTTGAATTATGTTTGCTACTGGTGTTGTTGTTGGGGACTTTTTAGTAACACTGTGAAGTTCTCTTTGTGCAGTGCTGTAGGGGATGGATGGTAGCTCCTGACAGATTCAAACACAGCTGGCTGAGAACACTGCTGGTGATGGATGAACAATGTCTCTGTTAATGCCTTTTATACATAAATGATGGGCTTGCTTTATTTATTTATAAGATGTATCCAATTACACATCTCAGAGCAAATGTCCACTGTTCACTAAAGCACACACTATTGGCATTAAAAAGACAATCCCTGAAATCAGTGATCAATGTATTTTCCTTGCTCTTTGGAGAGAGACTGAAACAACAAGTAAACCTAAAATTCAGCAAATTCCAGAAGTTCTTTAGAGACCTGTGAAAAGTGACTGAAACTCAAAGAGGAATGATGTTGTCTCTGCTCTGGCCACTTGCAGAGCTCCACATTCACCTGAGATTCTGCTCCCATGTGGCCTGGATGGATCAGTCCCACCTGTAGAGCAGCTCAGAGTCTGCCATCCCACTGTGATGGCTAAAGCTCACTTGGCTGGGATGTGTTTCAGTGGAGTGAGCCATCTTATCTACTCCAAGAGGAGGAGAATAAATGGTTTTCCCCTTTGTGTAGCTTCAGCACAGGTTTTTGGGTGCTTTTACTGTGTGTCTGTGGGTGTTTATACTCATGAGTGGATCCAATTTAGAACATGAGCTGTCTAACCAATGTTAGAAACTTCACAGTGTAAATTAAGTTAGTTTATTTTATCAAGTAGGTTAGGTATACTCTGAAACAATTCTTAGCATTTTGCTATGAAAGAATTAGTCTGAATTAAGGTGGGTGTGCAGATAGCAGCATGTTAAACAATTTTAGACTTGAGATCTGATTTGGCCTCTTGGAGGACACCTAACTCAACTGATAGTGGGGTGAATGCTTGCTTGTGTGGAGTCTGTATTAAATAGAAAATGTGCTGTAAATTTGCCCCTATGTTTCTGCTAACTTATTGATACAGAATTCTCTTGAATTGCAGTGATGGCATGAATTTATAACGCAGCCAAACCCTGAAGGTGCTGGTCTAGCAAGGAGTGAGTCTCCTGTCCATTCCTGGATCCAAATGCAGACATTTGGGAGGTTGTGGAGCAGCAGCCCTGAGCCAGAGAGCTGGGACAATGGCAGTGCAGGGAGCAGCTGAGCTGGGCTGTGTTTGCTGCTCTCACAGGGTGGATGCTGTTTGGTTTTGGCACTTTGATGTTGCCCACTGCTCTTTCCTGATGGTGGGAGCCCAGCAGGGGCCCCTTTGAGAGGCACTGGAGAGCAAGCCTGGCTTGTTCCTTGCTTGGAGCTGCTGGGAAGTGCAGCCTGTGTGTCTGCTCCTCATCCTGTCCTGCTGTCTGTCTCTGAAATGTGGCGTTTGCACGCTGGATGTGGTGGTTCTGCAAGAATTTATATCCTCAGCAAGGCAGAATTGTGACTACCAGGCAAATAATTTAGAGTTTGGTTTGGTTTCCAGGAACAGAGGCTTGCTAGTTATTTTTCACTGGTTTCTGTGCTATTATGTTGTTGTGATAATCTTGGCAGGAATCTGTCACTCTGTGTTGGTATAATTGAAACTTGTTTTCCCTGAGGAATCACTCTGCTGTTTGTTTTATTTGTTTACTGACATTGACAGAGATCCTAATGGCTTTTAAAACCCAATTTGTGCATCACTGAATATCCTCCAAAGAGGAAAATAAAATTAAATTTATCAGTTAAAAAGGGTCCCCCATGCAATGCTTTGTCTGGGTCTTGGGCTCCACCTGAGCACCCAGATGGGGGTCTGGAAATGGCGTGGTGAGCTGCATTTTTCTGATTATTTCTAATTCTGTCTTTGGGGCTTTTGTCATTAAGATACTTAAAAGGATAAATGACAATAAGTTATTTAGGGCATCAGTGTAAGCTGCCCAACTTTGCCTTGTGAGAAATAAATTATCTTTAGCTTTTATTAAAAAGGAAGTTAAGATAACAAAACAATAACCACAGTGAAATTTCCCTTTTGGGAGGGTATACATGATGGTATCACTTATTATTGTCATAAATCAGAGTAATTAAGTGTTTGGATTTTTTTTAAAATGTATGATATCAAAGTGTTTATGCATTTATTTTGTTTTAAGCCTTTGAAGAACTTCAGTGAGAACATTTGGACTATTTACATTTGGAATCTCTTGCTGAATTGTAATTGTGGATTGTTGCATGCTGTGCTCCAGAGGAGCATGCACACAAATAAATGGTGAGGCAGACATTTGTGACTGTGTTTGCATGGGTCTGAGGATGAGGGAAGAGATGAGGATCTGACTCCATGTTTCAGAAAGCTTAATTTATTATTTTATGATATTTATTATATTAAAACTATACTAAAAGAATAGGAAAAAAGATTTCATCAGAAAGCTAGCTAAGAACAGAAAAAAAAAAAAAGAATGATAACAAAAACTTGTAGCTCAGACTCTCTGTCCCAGCCAACTCACTTTGATTAGCCATTAATTAAAAACAACTGCCTAAGACTTATCACAAATCTACCTGTTGCATTCTACAGCAACAGATAATCATTGTTTATATTTTCTTCTTGAAGCCTCTCAGCTTCTCAGGAGGAAATACCCTAAAGAAAGGATTTTTCATAAAAGATATCTGTGACAGACATTCAGGAATGTAGAAGAAAGGATGGATTTCTTTAAGCCTAAAGAATACAGGATATATTTTTAACTTCCCCAAAGCTGTGGCTTTGCCCTGGATGAAGATTCAGAATTTTTTTTTTTATTTTAGTGACATGATTTAGACCATCTGTAATTGCCTTTTGACACACTTCCTTGTCACTCAAGCGCATGGGGATTGCCCAGGTTTCAGTGAACTCTGACTGTGAACGTCATGAGGAGATAAGTTTGGAAAATACTGCTGATTTTAAAGGTTATCTGTCAGTTTGTATATATACAGCTATGAGCCAAACCAATCTGACCTCAAAGCAGAGCTGTAATATAATAACACTGCCTTTCTTACCCTGTATCTCCTTTACAAATCTGCCTGACATTGATAGCACTACAATAATAATAGATCTGCAATGTTTATGTTGCCTCTTCTAAGGAGGAGTTCTAATGTACCTTGGAAAAGTGGGTAATTAGTGTTATCTCCTTTTTTACAGAAGGTAAATTAGAGGTACAGAGAGAGAACCCTGGCTCCCACCTCCTTGTTCTCACTGTGCTTGGCTCAGTAGCACAAATCTTGACCACGTGCATTGTCAGTCTGATTTGTACTTTTTATTGCATTGCAGTGCCTAAAACAAGGATTTTGGCTACTGGTGGCGCATCCCACAATAAAAAGATCTTACAGGTAAGTAGAAAATTAAATCCTGAACTGAGCTTGCAGTTACACCTCCATTTTTATTTTGCTGTACTGAATCCAAATCACTGCAGCTGCACGTGAAGGTGGGGATATGGAATTGTGAATCTGCTGCAGGTCTTCGGGGTTTTTCTTCAGGTTTAGTGTGAAAACCTTTAGCCCAGTGCTAATTTTACATTCAATTTAGAGTTTTTTTCACACTTGATTGGCTTTGTGAATGTGTATCTGAAGCACTGATGATTTCCGTGTCTCATCACTTAAATCAATCAGCATAGAAATCACAAAGAAACTTCTTATGTAATACCTGAGGGGTTTTTTTTGTTGTTCAGGTCAAAGTTGAACCATTGGTTTCTTTCAGCTGAAGGGGAATTATGCTGGTGGTAAACACTGAAAAAACCCCAACAACAAAAACAAACAAACACCCTCATCCAAACCTCAACCCCTTGTCTTTGTGTTACTTATTACCATCATGTAATTTGCTGGGAGGAGGCTACACTTTGGTTGGATTGTTGTTTGTCCCAACCTCCTCTTTTGCTGCTGCTGCACATCCAGCCTGGGTAAGATGCTCCATCCATGGTGTGGAGAGCAGAGACTGTGTGCTCTCTGCTCCTGCCCACCGAGACCTGGCAAAGCCTCCCTCACAAACGGCGAGAGGCCTCTCAGCTGGCTGTGACAGCACAGAGAGAGACATCTGGGCTGGGATTCATCCTGCCCAAATCCACTCGGCTGTGGTGGGATGTCTGGGTATGATCTGTCAGCCCTGCAGCAGTCGAGGGATATCCCGCCTATTGCAGCACAGAGGAAAGCAACAAAAGCCCAACTGGGTTGGGGTTTTAATTTAACAAATGTAAAATCTCCTCCTGGGGGATCCCAGGAGCTTTCTGGGCTCTAGGGGCTACCTTGACCAGCTCCCCTTTAACCACAGGCTTCAACATTGACCTGGAGGTAGACATGGACACCAGAAGTTCTAATCTTGGGCTAGGTCTTATCATTGGTGATAGATGTGGGAAATGATACTTCCAAAAATTTAAAAGATTTATTAACCTTATCACAAAATACAGCAGAAGACTGACTAGAGAAAATAACACAATGCCGAGAGAAAAGGATTTTTTTTTCCCACCATGGTAAAATTTTTAACCCTTTAGCCCCTCCCAAAGTCTTGTCCATTGACTTTTCCTTTGCTGTCCAGCGATGGAGATCACTTTCTTACATCTTGATTACTAGGGCAACACCTTAGAGCCCAGGTGTTGCCCTAGTAATGAGCCAACCCTCCCAAATGTCCCAACTACCCAGGCCATCCCATGATAACAATGCAAGGAGGGGGTAAAACATAACTATCAATTTTAATAAGAGGCAAAATAACAAACTTTTTACAGAGAAAAACTGATCTAGGTGCAAGAGGCTTTCCTGCCCTTGGTAAAACATCTCACAAAAGCGATCGGTTTCTTTGTTTTCTTCTTTTTTTAGTAAATTGCTCAGGCAGGACTTTTTGGCTCTTGTGTAATTAGTATTTTTTTAAGTTTGAGGTGAATTCCTCTGGGTCCTCTGAGATGCCTTTTTCACCTAATCGAGGAGAGAAACTTCTGGGCTTATTTCCTTTTTAAAAGGACAAAGAATAGTTTTGTAACTCTGTTAACAAGGGGCACATTCCTACAATAAATCTATAAAACTTTATATATAATACTTGCCATTTAATTGTGAGAGTCAACCATTGCATTGCTCATCTATCACGTAGGCAACACAGGGTGAAATGTTTTCTGGGGATTCCAATCCCTTCCTGTCAGGGCCAGCCTCAGCTGCACACCATTCTCTTTGACAATTGCAGTCAATTCTCTGCTCCACAAAGCCTGAGCTGGATTTAAAGAGCAAAAAGGCAAAAATCTGTTTTCTCCTAAGGCATCTAAACCACATATGTGTGTAACTGCTGCCTGTAGAGCTGATTGGGGAGCAGCAAATTTGGCATGTTTTGCCTGCAGATGTCACTTCTCTTCATCTGCTTTGGTTCCTTTGCGTAAGAAAGTGACATTGGAAAATTAACTGATTGGTTAATTGCTTAAAACATTGGTCCTTACAGTAGTAATTCTGCTAAGGAAAGATTGGGTTCACAGATGAGTTTGTTTTTAAGGCTGTATTTCAGTTTGGGTGCCAGGAGGATCTCCTCGCTGTGCAATGAAGGCAGAGAAACAAATATTCTTAAAAACATAATTTGGTAACAGACACAGCTGAAAAACCATGGGATTGGGAGAGTGGTGGCTGGGGTGCTTGCTCTTCACGTATAACAATTCAGCTGCTTTTAAAACTCATTAGAAGTGCCTTAAAATAATATGATCAATACAGTGTCATTCACTTAATTCAATCACTGGTTAATTGGATCTTTCTTTTTAATTTAATCAAAACCTCAGAAACCATATCAGTTGCATAAAGAATAACAGCTTCCACCCTTATCATGGTCAATTTTGGATAATTTGTTCCAGGGCTACAAAGGACTATCATTTAATTAATCAACGTTCAGGAACTCCTATATTTTACGCCACAAAGGAGACAACTTATGAAAATCTGTTAAAAAAAATTTAGTAGGGCAGCTTTCTCCACAGTTCCAGGAAGATTTTTATAGCATATGTGGTGCTTGATTAATGACCACATGCAACACAGTGAATTATCTTAAGTAGTAGAACCTCTAACAGCTTATTTTTAAATTATTTGTGAGAGATACCACAGTTTCAAACAACTTACCAAATATATGGACTTTGAATAATTTTAATTTTATAATTGTGGTAAAAAAATGTTATTTGTTAAATTGTTAAAATATTATTTGTAGTATTACAGCACTTCTTAGCAATCAGTATAGAGTAGAGCTGCATTGTATGAGGCTCCTCAGAGATACAAAAAAAAAATTGTTGTTCAAAAGATTGTACAATTTAAACTTGAGAAATGCCTGCTAGAGATGAGGTGAAGATATAGGTGGGGAATGTGTTGAAACAAAGTGGCTTTGGCTGGTAGGATGGGCAGTGGGACTAGAGCTCTGTGACCTTACAATTTCCAGAGTACTTTTTAATAGATGACCATGATTTATTTTTCATTTGTTCTCTAGCATTGAAATTCATGTGCTGCTTAAGACAGTTTTAAGTGTATCAGCTCAGGCTTCCACTGGGTTCTAGTTAGCAAACAGCCACTTTCATTTAAATTGTGAAAATCAGTGATTTTCAAAGGTTTTGATTTGAAGATTCTGCACAAAATTTCAGAGAAAGAAAAATCCTTTAGAAATTCCATGTATATATATTTCTATAGGTGATATGGATTGAATTTCTTACTCATCTTTTATGGACCCTTGGGTCCATCCCCAGCAGGGTTATAAATTCCAGGATCAGGGTTGCCTTGCACTAACCCAAATGGTTTGGAATTCTGGACATTCTGGCTTTATTTTAGACTCAATTGTATGGATTTAAGTCAGGTGAGATACTTTTCCCTTTGGCAAAAGTAATAAAACCAGCACAGGTTACATCTGAATTGTTTCCTGCTTCTTGTATTGCTCAGCCTGAGGGGCACTTGCAGTCCTAGAAGTGATGAAACCAAAATGGAAAGCATTTGTTGACAATGTTTTTGGAAAGGAATTATTAAACCTCCTATGCCCTTACCCAAATATGTCTTAATTTTCCCAAATCAGTATTGTTTTTCTAAACCTAAACTGTGGGGAAGAGCAGATGTGAGGTGCTGATGGTGTTGATTTCAATGCAGAATGATGAGTGGTCAAATAACTTTAGTATCTGTTGAATACCTTAATAATTTCTTTGCCTGTAAAATTTTATTTGTATTACCCAAGCCAAATGTCTCAATATATCTTCATAGCTAAAGTTCCCTTAAAAACAGGAAAACTGGTAAATTTAGAGACTGTGTAATCAGCTCCTGTGTTGTTCTCCCTGCTGACCCTAATGGGATGGGAATGGTGGAGATGAAGAAAGGCTTAGCAGGCCTTCATGTTGCTGGAGCTTTATTTTTATGCCAGTTTACAACTGAGGAGGTGTGACTGGTTCTTCTCTCTTTTCTCCCCTTCCTTTCCCCTTCCTTTCCCCTTGAATCAGCCTTAGCATGATGGAAGCAAACAGGCTCCAATTGTGGGCTCCTGAGCAGGTCTCCTTGCCCTGACATAAGCCTTTAGCATGTGCTGATTGTGTGAGCTTTTGAGGAATGATGCTTGAACCAGGGCTCCTCTGGACTGTAACCAAGACATCTGGAGAGAAATGGGACTTTATTTCCTGGCTAGAGTTACGTCTGTAGCTCAGAATTACCAATACCCTGTGGTGTGACAAGTTCAGGCCTCACTGTTGCCAGCAGTGCCTCTTTCCACGGGTTCCTGAGCGCTTGGCTGGGGCTTGGGACAGCTGCTTGTTTTCCTGAGCAGTGATGAAGGATTTTTCCTTTTCCTTTGTGTTTCATGGATGCTTTGATGCCCCTCAGGTCCTGTCCGACGTGTTCAACGCGCCCGTGTTCACCATCGACACGGCCAACTCTGCTTGTCTGGGAAGTGCTTACAGAGCAATCCATGGTAAGGCTGCCAGGAGACTCCTGTGAGCAGTCAGGGAATTTAATTTCACTTGGATAATACTTGGGATTAACTTTACTGGGCATGAGGGGGGAGTAAAGCTGTGCGCATCCGACTGGAAGGTCACACGGGTCAAAGAGGGATTTTTGCTTAGTACACTTGGATTAGGGCAGAGAATATAATTTACATTGTAATTCCAAGCCTGGTGGCTGCTTCTCAGCCAAGGGATGGGGTGTGGGAAGTGTTGGTACTGTCCAGGGAAGATCTAGGGACCTTCACATGTTGAGTTGTTACATCCATGGAAGAATACAGCCAACTGAAGGTGTGCTGGTGCACCTGCTGCCCCAGTTTGGGAACTGGGCTGTAAACTGGGATGCTGAAATGGCCAAACCAAACAGAAGGTTGATCCCAGCAAAGAAGATCATTGAGGGCAGGGACAACAGGACCTATAATACTGCTGGCCAATATTAAACCTATATTTATCTTTCAGCTTTTAAACATCAAGTTGAATAATATGCAAGGTGTCCTGGGCTCCACGCACTTACTCTTGTAAAAGTATGAATCTTGGGATAGGTTGACCAGTCATCTTGCTTGCTGTGCTATACCTCTCACAGTAATATTACAGCCAAGCCCCAGGATTTACATGTTAAGTAACTTATATCTATTAATGCATGTGGGTGTGTGTTAAGGGTGGGCCATCAGCTACTTAAGACTTGAATCCCAACCATAAATTTTTATCCATGTATTTTAAAATGGTTTCTAATATCTTACAACTAAACAATTCAAGGAGCATGGAAGTCCTTGTTTAGGTCAACTTCAGTTGGCCTCAGATTTTTTAATTTGAATCCTTAGGATTTGGGCCTTAAGACATGGGTAACTTTTCTACAAGTTCATGTAAGACCATGGGACTGTAACAAGCATGGAAAAGATAGCGCCAACTATCAGAAGAAATCAGCCAAGTTTTAATTTTAGAAGCAAATTCTGCTGTCACATTATAGCATCTAAAGACTACATGATCTCTTGCATTTGAAAACAGCACAGAAAATTGCACGACCAAAACCTGAATTGGTATGTTTAATGCACACAGCATGCTCTCCTCTTTATCTCCAGAAAAGGCGCAAGGATTCTGTCAGGCCAAGCAGGCTTTTGCAGGACAATGGAAACACTTGGATTATATTAATATTTGAAGCCACAATGGGACCATTTTTGCACCTTGTGGGTCGAGTTTCCAAACTGTTTTTCTTTATGATCAAACTTTGCCTTCAGCTTCAGAAGCCTCCCAGCACTTAATGCTGCAGGCAGATTCCTTGCCCTTGAATGCGTGTGAAATGTGGAGGCACCATTGAAGTTTGTGCAGATATTTTGTGTGTGTGAGATGTGTATTCCCTCTGCCAGCTTGGCATTTGAGCTGTGGAGGCTTGGCTGACAGAGCGTTTGAGCGAGGGTTTGGGCTGCTGTGCTGATGGAGGGACTCCTGGGCTCACATCCTCTGCCAGCCAGGCCCCAGGGGGTTTGCTGTGTGTGTGTGTTCCTAAATGGCATTTTTGATTGATGCCTTCAGCTGCCGCAGTCTTGGCCAGGCAAAGGGATTGAGGAAAAGTGGGGACTTGCTAATATAAATGAAATACCGATGGCAAGGGCTCTTTAATAATATTGCAATGTGCATCTGGGGTGTTCCACAGTTAGCCTGGGGTTCTTAGCAGGTGTGCAGGGAGCTCCTGAAATGCTTTGTGATTTGCTCACAAAGCAAAATGCTGTCGTAGCAGAACTCCCCTATTATTCTGCTTCCTTACACATAAATATAATTAATAATTTGTAGCATATTTTCTTGAAAGTGTTTTCATTTCTCTTCATTTTTATGTTTAGTCACATTTTGTCCTTGAATCCCTTGCTTCCACCTATTTTCACTGCTGTTTACTGTACTGTTGTAACCATAAATAATTACTGATATTGTTGAGTAGCATTTCTGCTGCTTACCTGTTCCCCAGGGTAAGAATTGAGTGATTGGCAAAAACTCAATCACAGAGTCCCCACTTCCCAGGCTAGCCCATAGGAATGTAAGATCCTCTGCCATTTATCCTTCAATCCTGAATGCTGACCTGACCAGGGAAGATCAATATAATGTATTAATTTGCCAGGGAGTCAAGGCACATCCCTCATGGTGTTTTTTTGCATTGATCAGGATTGTGATTCTCGTTGCAGGACTTGTAGCTGAGAGGAATGTGCCCTTGGCTGATGTTGTGAAATTAGCACCAGAGCCCAGATTGGCTGTTACACCCACCCCAGGGGCTGAGGAGGTGAGCAAGTTTGGGAATGCCATTTTTCTTTTCATTTCCCGTCTGTTTCAAAATGTAGTGGTTTGTTAATTATCCTCATAAAATAAATTAATTTAGGAAACTCTTGGTTACAGAGTTCTTATTCCTTGTTGTAAAGACAGATTTGATTTTGAAAAGTATTTGGTGTTGTAATGATGCAATAATCTGACCCCACCATCCAGGTCTGTGAGAATGAATTTTCCTAACAAGGTGTGATCAGAGAGCAGAATATCTTCCTTAAGGGACAGAAAAAGTTATAAAGTAGATTGAATTTGGACACAGGTCAGTCAGGTTGTAACTGATAATCTTGAAAAAATAATCTGGACTTGTTTGCAGCAAGCAGCAGCAAAAGCAAAAGGAAGGTGATTGTGCTTTCTGGCTTCTTGGAAAACATCTCCAAAAACCCTTCCTGTCTGTAAACAGTGCTCAGCAATTGTATATAATCACTGGTAGCTCCTCTGAAACCATGGCAGCTGGGAGGACTCAGTGGGCACAGCTCTTTGGTCCTGTGCCCATCCTGTGAGTTCTGGCACGTCTGAAGGTGAGTTTGTGCTTTATGGCCCACGTAGACAAAGCAGAGGAGAGAGTCATTGCTGGTAACTATGTGACTACAGCCCTTGTAAAACCAAGGAAGGAATCATTGTCTCAGGCTCTCCAGTGCAGCCCGGCACGTCTCACCCCCAGCCAAAGGCTTCAGTTTACAACATCTTTTCAAATATAATGCACAGTAATAAATAAACAATACAATATAGCAAGATTCCTGGAGAACACATGTTTAAATAACAAAGGTGAATCTCACCAAGGTCTTCAGCTGTGCAAAAGCTTCTTTTACATCAGCGCAGCCTTACACACTCCACCGTTTATGAGATTTGGAAGTGGCCTAACTACAGGCAAAAAGGTTTTAAAGCTTTTATTTAAACTGGGAAATTAATGATCTGCCAAAACTACTAACTCCCAGCTACATGTGTAGAGGAGCACCAGATATCATCATGAGTAATAATAGAAATGATCATGCTGCATTGTGCCTGCCAGCATATTATTTAATTATTAACTGAGATGGAGGAGCTCGGTAATCGAATAGAAGTCCCCTTCAGAAATATTAAGACATTGAATAATTTAAACTTGATTGATCTGATCTCATTTACTCAACCTTCCCCCCTCATTTTAAAAGATAAAATAATTAACAGCAGCTGCCTGTGCCACGTGTGCTGCAGCTGAAGCTCCCTGCAGGGAGCACAGCACAGGAGCAGCTCCCTGGTGCCTGACCCAACCTCACGTCGCTGCCCTGTTCCTCCCCAAAATGCTGCGTGCTGAAAAGCTGGGGAGGGCTCAGAGACCTGCTCCTGACCCCCTGGTGCTGCTTCAGCTGGAAAACTCAAGGGCAGAGGATACAGCTGTCACTCACAGGGGCCCTGCAAGCACCTTGTACCCCTGCAGGGGCCGAGCAAACCTGGCAGGAGAGGTCACTGGGGAATTCAGCCACCTCTTTCTGCTTTGCTCTCTGGATAAAACGGCCTGGAAGCTAAAAGAGTTAATTATCTCCTTCTCAATACTTCCCTTTTCCACATGGTTAGACCTGGCTCTCCTTGCACATCTTTTTTTATTGGTTTTAAATGATGTGCAGTAGTGAATTGTTGCCCCAGTAGATGGGAATGAATGACAGGGAGGCAGTGGCCAAACAGCATGGGAAGGAATAACCATTCCTGCTCTTTAGCTGAGCTTTCCAGCTTCATTCCATTAAAATCAGCTTCTTGCGATTACATATTCCACACCATTTCTTTTTTTCTTCTTGCCTTATAATTTTGCAGTTGATGGTGGATTCCCTGGCTAGTTTCATGGCTGTGAAACTGCAGAGAGCCAGAGGGCCTGTCAGTAATACAGTGCGCTAGCATGAACACTGCAGCAGAAATTCATAATGCAATGAGTCAGTTTGATTCTGTTTCGTACAGAGCTGCATCTCCCTGTCCATCCAATTTCGTTCTGTTGGGGTTAGAGCCTTTCACTTAAATGATAGTTCTTTTTATAAACTTCAAAGTCATCCTGAGGTTAAGTCCTGTCTTGCTGAGGAGCTCTTCTGAAAGAGTCTGGCTCACCAATGTGAAATTCCCCCAACCACTTCTTTACATTTTTTGGACAGCTACAGCTAGATCTTGGCAGGGTGGAGAGAAAACAGGTCATAACACAGCAATCTGCTCTGGTTTCATCCTTTCTTCCTGGTATAGGTTGGAGACAGCGTGTTAGATCATTGGAGAGAGGAAAGCCTCCTGTAGACAGAGGTCAGATGGGACAGTTTGATGTAGCTTCTCCTGCCTTGCCAAGGCCTATGCCCACAGCAGGGGTTTCCAGGAACCAAAAATGCAAAAAGCTTCTCTTTGATTTCTGAGGGATCATTTGTGATAATGAATGTGATTTTAAAAAGCAAGGGCAGGGCACACAAAGCAGCTCTTCTGGTTCAATTAAACTGATGGGCAGGTAAAACAGAACAAAGTCACAAGAAGGGGAACACAGGGCTTGTGGTGGGCCATGAATCAGTAGTTAGTGGAAACTGAAGTCTCAAAAGTTCCAACTTGCCTGACAACAATGTGACTTTGTCCTGCAGCAGACCATGGTGCCTTGAAGAGACCATTTCAAAGAGGATGAATCCCTCTCTGTGGGTATGACCCCAAGTCTCTTAGCTGAACCTGATTTCCCAGTATTTTTGTAGGATAGGGGTATTAATCTGAGCTTGTTTCTAATTCTGTCAATACCCAAATGGGTCATGAGGTGTTCTGGTGGGAACCACTGTGGTAATAGTCCTTGGTCACTCACTCAACCACACTGGCTCAAGTCAGTCATTTGTAGGTTATTCTGATTAATCCTTCTTCCTTTATTTTCAGCATAGCAGAAATTAAAGAGTCATTTCACCTCTTTGGGGCCTCCTGTCTTCCCCGAGGAAAAAGATTAATCAGAACCACGAAGCATGACAAAAATAACCAGGAGATTCTAGAGCAATAAATAGATGCTAACAGACAGAAATAATCTGTTGTTTTAGCATTAGGATTCAGATCTATTTTAGTAATCTATTAAAGCAGGGATGGTTGGCTAGTTGGTTAATTAAGCAAAAATAAAACATGAGAGGGAACATGATTGTCTGGGAGTTGGTCACTTATGTTCATACAAGCTGTGTGACAGAGTGCCAGATTGGTTGTGATATTGTCCTGTGGGGTTTTGCAGGGAGAAGGCATGGAGCAGCTCACTACCTCTGGATGTGTGGTTTTTGATTGCATTATTGACTCTGCTGAGATGTATTAATCTTGCAAAAATTCAGGAAGGGAAAATGTAAACCTAACAGGTTTTCTTGACTTTGGTGAATTGCCTTGTAAGAGGGTGGATTTATAGAAATGACCCTATTACCCAGGAAGGTTATAATGACCTATTTATTGATTTAAAATAATTGTATTTTGTTGAGTTAGGTTTTGGAAGGGGGAGGTTGTTTTCTAGAATTGGTTTGGGTTGGTTATTTAGTGCAAAGTAGGTAATAATAATACAACCACAAAAATATAATAGGTATTGATAGACGTTTGATTAAGGTGATTTGTGTAGCCAATAATTTTCTAAACTGATTAAGATGGGCTTGCAGAATGGATATCTAAAGTAAAGAATGTAATTGTTTCAGGTGTGGTTCCTTGGAGAAGTCTTCAGAGTATTTCAGAACACTGTTTTATTGTTTCTGCTTTATGAGTATTCTTCCTCTGTTAAGAATAGTGAACAACTGCTATGATTTGAAAAATAAAAGAACCCTTGATTTCTTAAACAAATCTCTATGACTAATTTGACTTTGGTTTAAAAAAAAAGGAACATATCAAAAGTAGCAAGTGTTTGTGAGAGACTGATTAATTTTAATCTATTCAGGGTAGATTAAATGTACTTGGGTAGATTAAAATTAGATAATCATCAGCATCATCTTTGTGATTTGTAAATTTTGAATTGCTCCAGTGATTGGCTAACAGACCATTGCAGGAGACAGGAGGATCCATGTGGATTGTCACTTGTAGTAATAATTTGTAGCTGCTTTTGCTCTTAGAAGGTGGCAGGGATAATCTAAACAGTAAAAGCCCAGTTGAGCACATAGGCTGGTAATGTGGTGAGATGCAGTAACAGGATGAAACATTTGATTTGTTCTAGAGAACAAGGTAACATTGTACCAATGCATTTTTCAGAGAGGGCAAGTTAAATTATTACCTGTTATAATGTATTATTTATCACTGGCATTTTCTTTAGTTATGGGACTGTCAGAATGTGACCAAATTGTCCCAGGAGAGAAGTTTAGGGTTTGTAAATGAAGCAGTCAGAGTACTGTCAACATTGTGGAGTAGGCTATAAAGATAAGCTGGAGAAAGGGCCATAATTAAGCAAGGACAATTAAATTATGGACAATAATAAGGTTTGTGTTGTGATACATGTAATTACTTTTATTAAATATCACGGTTTGATAGATTAGGTTTGAGGCTATGGCAGAGAGGGAATTTATGTCCTTGGGTTTTTATGCATTATTGAGAGTCCTTTATTCCCTTTGGACCTCAATTACAAGAACACATCTCTATAATTGCCTCAGGAAAGAGACTCCCGGAACTGCACAGGAGGAGTTGCCCAAGGTGCTGTGGAGGCACTTCAGTCATGGCAGGTGTGGAGAATCCCCTTCCACAGACACACCTGGGTGCACACTCAGGCCATGCTCTGGGCTGGTGCTGTTTGGATTTTCTCTGTGTTTCATGGGAGCTGCACTGCCCCAAACCTCAGCTGGCATGAAGAATACTGCCTGTGAAAAGCCTGTGGTACTGCTGCACTCATCAGCTGTGATGTACTGGTGGAATTACAGCCACATTCCCCGAGGAGGAGGAATTTAAGGCTTTGCTTATCCCTCTGAACTGCACAGCTCTTTACCCCAAAGAGCAGGAATAGAGTACAGGAAATATTCTTGACTATTTGTTTGCAGGTTTTTTTTGTTTTTTTTTCATATGGTCCATAATGCAGGATTCATTTCCACTAATGGCTGAGAAGCTTATTGCAAATGCCTGAATTTCCTCAATTAGCAAACTAAGTGCTTAAGTCCAATAAACAGGAAAAGAAACTGTGTCAGTAAATGTGGTTGTTCATTTATTTTGACACATTTTAATTTAGAGTGATGTATTAACAATAATACTTCCCAGCCTTCTGGTAAATGTGTGTATTTTGTAAAAATACTGATGGGCAAATAATATGGAGCCTGCTTTCTCAGTGCCTGAGCTCACTTACCAATGCAGCTTTGCTGTGCTGAATCTTTGCTGAGAAGCACTTAGCACTTATCAAATTTACAGAATAGTGAAGTAAGAAATAGCCAGTCTTCATTACAGATGCTTCAGTGAATAGAGGAGCTGGTTTTATTTGAAATACTGATACTCCCAGTATAGCCATAGTTGCCTGCTCAATGTTTTGTTTACTCTGATGTGCATATTTACCAGAAATGGGAGCAATATTTTCATGTTCTTTGGGAACATGAAAAGAATATGCATGTGTACTTCTTGGAGCCCTCCAGGCCTCATGTAGTTAGTTAAAAATACCACGCTGAGTAATGTGACATTTCATAATAGTGGTGCATTTTATTTTCTAACCCCATAAATCTGCATAAACCTCCAGGATCTCAGTATCACTGTCCTGTGGAGAAGAGGAGCTGGGGCACACACATGTTAAAAGCCTGGCCTGGGGTCACTGAATGAGTCTGTTTCAGAGGCAGGAGTGAGCAGGATTCTCTGCTTTAATCAGTGGAAGGCTCTGCAAGACTCAGTCACTGTGAGATGGCTTTAAAAACCATTTTCTGATGTCTTAGCTAACAAACTGTGTCTCTTTCCACTTGCTGTGGATGCTCCTTCTCTTCTACCCCTTTTTGTACTTAACCTGTTATAGAAATGTAGAAAGGAAACTTTATTTTCTATAACATCTGGTTTGTAAAAAGGAAGGAGTTGGTCAAAACTAGATCTATCTGCAGAATGTGCCCATTAAGTCACTTCCACCTGCTGTTGTGGAAGGTGGGAATGGGAATGAAGAGATAAATTCAGTTTTCATTGGTCTGTCTTAAACTATCATTCAGCAGAAGGGAAAGATAAAACCTGAGTATTTTGCCATCAGTTGAAACAGAAAACAAAAACCCACTGTTTTTTATTTCCTAGATGAGAAAACTTTGTGATTTTTTTTTTTTTTTTTTTATTCTGGGAAAGTGTGGCTGTTACAGACACTGAGGCTACTGCAGGACTGTACAGAGACCTGCCCAGGAAGAAGCTGCTCTCCTACTATATCCCCATAGTTTACACCTGAAACATTTTCCTCCTGAATTTTTCATACTTATGCACACACTGTTGTTGACTGTCCTGAAAAGGATAAACCACATTGAAATGCTAGATCTCTCTTACTGATGAGAGCAGTAATTCAGTTTGCTGGCTGTGATTCATTATGGCTCCATAACCTCTCTGAACCTGGAGCCAGGAGTGAGGCTGCCCTGATTATGAGTCAGTGCAGAGGGCTTGTGGAGCAGACTGGCAGCCTCTAGGATTCACTGTGGCAGGGATGTGACCTCATGGCATCCTCCTAGGGACTGCTCAAGCCTGCACCAGACCCTGCTCATGGCATTCCCTTCTTTGTGCTGGAGCCAGCGAATGTGCAAAGCTGTCCTGGTGTGGCTTGTCACAGTGCTGGTTTTATTAGAGGGACAGATAAGGGAGGAGATAAGGAGAAAGGTGCATCTCCAAGATCTAGATGAAGTCCAGTTTTTGGTTGGAGCAGAGTAGAGATTTTGATTTTTTTGATTTTGAGATGGATCTCACCCATATCTGAAAGTGCAGAATGTGTCCGAGACTGGGGTTTTGAACATATTTGAGTCTTGATTCTTCTTTTTATGGTTGTAACAATACTGTACCTAAAAACTCCTGGAAAACACAAACAAGTGACTCAGATACTTGGTGTAGCTGTGGATAGGAGCTGGGTCTGCATTTGTCCCTCTGAGCTTGGGGAGCAAGGAACATGGCCATGGAGCAGCCTGTGGATAGGAAAGGATGTGGCTGTGAAAGATGTGTGTGGAAATCCACAAAATCAGAGGGTTTTGTAAAAGCTGCAAAAGGCAGGCCTCAGAGGCAGTAGAACTGTGATTAGAGCTAAGCAGCAGCCATGAGATTGGTCAGCAGAAAAATTATTTAAAAAGTAGAAAAGCAAAGACAAATAGAACAATGGTCTGTGTATTAACACTTGTCTAGAATAACCCTTTAAGCTACAGAAAAGTTTATCTAGTGAGATATTAGGAAGTTTTAAGCTTAATAATGGAGCTCTGTGCATTGTGTTTTAAGGCTGACAAGCAGGTATTGTATTTGAAATAAGTAAGCATTGTTTTAACCAAAGGTTCGGGTGCTTATAGTGGTTGGATAGAACTACTGTTAATGTGCTTTTGCTTTGTGTGATTGGCCAAAAAACTTATAAAGTAATTTGTAACATTGAGTTCTTGGTCTGCTGCCTGGGATAGGAGCTGCTGGCATCTCCCCATTGTCATAGCCATGTAATGAGGCTGATGCTGAAAAATAAACCAGCTCAAGGCACATTCCACAGCAGTCCCATCCCATTCGTGATTTGTACACAGCCCCCAGCCAGCGATAATGTGGAGTAGAGAAGCAGCTCAAGCAGGCACAGGAGTCTGAGAGGGAGTGTGAGGTGCATTTTGGAAGGGCCTGGTCAGCACATTGGCCAAGGAGCACCCAGCTGGCTGTGCTGGAGGGAGCAGCGGGGTGATGAGTGAGGCAGAGCAGGAGGAGGGGACAGGCAGTGATCCATCCTGGGGCAGTGCAGGGAGGCAAGGACAGGAGTTCTGCCTGGGTGATTAGCACAGCTATTACTGAGGGGGCACGGCACACTGGGAGAGGTGACTTTAGCTGAGCTGCTTCTGCTGGAAGTAATGGCTTCTGCTTATAGCAAGAACCCAGTCACAATAAGAACAACCTGTGCATGTCATAAAATTAAGCTGTAAAGGCGATGGTAAAAAGGACTGTGACATTTAAAGAGGGAAAACTCTGCAGCACTTTCATGAGCAAATTGGGCAAAAACCAGCCCAAACCTTCAGGTACCTGTGAAGATGCTGCATTTTTCATGTCTGAAATGCTTTTTAACTGCAGTGTAATTTAAAAATCTAATTTTTCAATGAGACATATTTATTTCTTTTTCCTTTTTAGCTCTATCGTCCACTTCTGAAAAGATATGCTGAGCTTGAACAGAAGGTTATCTACAACCCAGCCTCTTCTTGTCTTGTGAAATAGAAGCAAATAAAATTTATATGTTGTCTGAGCAGACTCCCAAGGAGAAGATCAGAAGAGATTTGCTCAGAATTTACTGGAGCTGTTTAAATCATTTCGTTCCTCTATGTAGACAAATAATTTTTAAATGTCTGTGTTTGAGTGTGTTGGTGGGGAAAAAAATTACATTGTGATTGAAAACCTGATTAAAAAAGCATCATATTGCTCTGTGTGTTTGTGGCCTCAATTTTTCTTAGGTACTTTTCAGACTGTGCTTGCTGTTTTGGAGAGCTGGGTGACAAAGTCAAGTTCCTTGTGTATGTGAGTCACTCTACCCATCTCTGTCAGCTTTGATTCCATGTGTTTGGCATGCCAGCCTCTGCATACCTGTCTAGCAAAGTGTCTCAATTCCTCAATTTCTCTTCCTTAAATGTTTTCAGACTATCTTTCTTTTCATCTGTGACTTGGAGATGTTTATATCTTTGCCCACACAGAAAGCATAAGCACACTGGCTTAATCCCATCTTTCTTTAATATGTGGAGGAGGCTGATTAAATTCTTTAAAGACTCCCTGGGATCCTCTGGGAAGGGAAATTCTTGTCACATGATACTATGGAAAGCCTGTTGTGTGATAAAGCATGATATGGCAGGGGTTTATAGATTGTGGAAAGCACAGAGATCTTCTGTGACACAGACACCCCTGTGCAATGTTTTACTTGACATCAGTTTTGTAAAAAAAGAAAATAAGAGACCAAACAGGGGAAGTTCCAAACACCTCCTTTCTGCTTCAGAAAGCAGAGTCAGTCCATCTGCACACCAGCTTGGGGTTATTCTTTCTTCCTCCTCCTCCTTGTCATGGCTGTGAAATTCTGTGTCATGCTCTGCCCTTGACAGGGCAGGAAGATGATTTTTTTTTTTTTTCACTCCCAATATCCCCTTTCTTTCTTGGAGATCTTGAATAGAACAGCTTGATTGTCTTGCTCTGTTGCTGCTGCTTCACTTCAAATGCTTTAGTCCAGTTTAAGTAGCCTCTAGCTGAGAAAATATTAGAAAATGTGAGCCTGGAGATCTTTCTGCAAAGATGTGTGGAAGTTGCAGAATTTGAATGAACACCCCTGTGCAAGTGGGAACACTTTACTGCGTTCTGTGGAGCTGCTATCTTTCCCTTAGGATAAAATTTCTCATGGGAATAAAGAAGATTGTTTAATGAAAGTGACTGAAGCCTCTCTTCCCTCCCTCTAGAAGCTGTAATGTGTCTTGGGAATAAGCCAGGGAATTGTAGAGAATAGAGAATCTCTTCATTGACTGAGAGCTGGATTGTGCCCTGCTGGAGCTGGATGACTCAAATTCATATTCTTCACATTCTGGGGGCATAGGAGCACTCTCCCTGTCCCTGCCACATCCTGTTGAGAGTGGGAACCCTTTGCTATGACTCACCTCTGGAGTGGCCAGGGAATACTCACATTCCTCCTTTGGTCTCTCTTTTATATTTAAGTGATCCACTTTTGAGTACAAACAGTACCTTCTCTTCTTCATGACTGAATAATTACAACTTCTCCTGATATTAGCATGATTACTCAGGAAGGTCAAGAATTACATTTCTGCGTTGCTAAAGCAGGATTCTTTTAAGCAATTGCTTTAAAAGGTGGCATTAGAAATACACATCTATCTCTTTTATGTGCTTATTATTCTGGATCCGAAGGTACCGTGCTAAAACATATAATACTTCTTGCAGGCCTCCACTGTCAGCAGTTGCTTTGTCATTGAGCAAGGCTGTAGAGAAATCCAGAAGGATTAATTAATGCAAGTTCTACAATGCCTGCTAGTTTAAGCAGTGTTACCAGCATCATTAGCCTGAAGTTCTGCCAGGTTACTGGTTGGTTTAATGTCAAAGTTAGCCACACAGGGAAGGGGTTTGGAGAGGTCACAATCACAGAATGAGTCAGGTTGGAAGGGGCCACAGGGGTCATCTGGTCCCATCTCCCTACTCCAAGATGGTCAACCCCGAATACCTGGCAGAGGATTGTGTCCATATGGTTCTGGAATATCTCCAGTGAGAGAGACACTGCACCCTCTCTGAGTGATCTGATCCAGTGCTTGGTCAATGCCCAGTAAAGAGGTTTTTCCTCATGTTCAGGTGGAACTTTCTGGGCATCAGCTTCTGCCCATTCCTCTTGTCCCATTGCTGGGTGCCACTGAGGAGAACCTGGCCTATGTCAAGGCTGAACAGCCCCAGCTCCTCACCCTTTCCTTGTAAGAGAGCTTCTCCAGACCCCTGGTGACCAAAGGAAGGTCTTCTTACTGACATTCATTTACCCTGGTCTCCTGGGTCAGAGATTCCTGAGGTCTGGGCTTGTTGGTGAACACTGATGAAAGGAAGGCATTCAGTAACTCTGCCTTCTCTACATCTTTCAGCTTTGTGCAGTTTTGGTGACAATTTCTTGAGTAGCTCATTGGTTTTGTCAGGGTGAGATGATTATTGTCTCTTGTAGCTTTCTGGCTTTATTTGCTTGTGAAATGGGAGGCTCAAGATCAGTTTCTTACTCGGCTGGGGAAGATTAAAGCTCCCATTTCCCAGCTCATAGCACATTGTAGAACATTTCTAGTTAATATCTTGGCTCCTAGCAAAGTATTTTATGGTGCTAGTAGGATATTGTCTTGATGATTTAACTACTTTCTGGGCCTGAACTCTTCTCTGGATAGGGAGAAGAGACTTCCTTGCCTGTTGGGCTGGGCTGGAGCTCTCTGACATGTCCCACATTAAAGCACTGTGTCCTCAGGGCAGCTGATGCACAGTGTTTGCTGCAGGAGCCCCTGAGAAAAGATGCAGGGCTCTGAAAAGTGAGCCACCACTGAATTATGGTATTGCTGTGATGATGGGTTTATTAGGGCTGGCCTCTGAGGAACAGTGTCTGGAGTACAAGAATTTATAGACAAGCTCTTTTTTTTCCCAGCTCACCCAAGTTGCACATGTTCACTGACTAGTGTCTGATAGAAGAAGAGTCAATAAATCTCCCCCTTGAAAGGTCCTTTGAAGAAATTCTGCTGTAAGACTTCTACTACTCTTTTATTTTTGTCCTTCTAGGAAAGCACAACAGCTCACCGAGGAAACACAGGTTCTTGCTCTCACATCCCTTTAAAAAAGTGATGGAAGGATCTGGTGCCCTTTGGTTTCCAAAACCACGTGGGCTTTTTGCCAACTTCTCTACCTTCTGGTACTCTGGCTGTCTGGAGCAGAGGTGGTGTTATGGTATCAGCTGGACTCGATGATCTTGGAGCTGTTTTCCAACCTCAGTGATTCTACAACTTAACAGCTTAGCTAAGAGAAATCTAAAGGCAAGGCAACAGCTTCTACTTCTAAATATTTGATGGAGGTTGATTCCCTCCCTCCTCCACAGGGGACCTTACTGTTCTTCAAGGTGAGCAACACAGCATGCCCATCTTACCTAGATGAAAGTTCAGCCTCTGTGTTTAAATGTCTGATGAACTATTCCCAGTCTAGAATAACTTGATGGAAAATTGATCTCACCTCCTGTAAAAAAAAAACCCAGACCCTTGATTGCCACGAAGAGATTGTTCCCTGCTGTCTTGCCTGCAGCTCCTGTCCCACACAGGTAAAGCTGCTCTAGGTTGGAGGTGGGTCATGGAGTTACCTGGAAAAATCCAAGCACCTTTCCCAGCTCGATGGCCCTGTGCTCTCAGCAGTCAATCAGAGCCTCACTGGATTCACTCACAAGCTCTTGCTGTACGACAACCCAAAGACAAACAGTTTTCTTTGCAGCCTCAAGTCTTTAAAGTCTTTTGTGATGCAGCTGGAAACAAACAGGGAAAGATGTTTGCTTTTTCTTAAGGGATCAGTCTGAGAGAGTTGGAGCCCTGATTGAATAAGTAATGTACTGAAAAAAAAATCTATGCTGTGTCGGTGCTTTAATAAGTAATTGAGCTGAATACTGCTGTGTGTGATCCCGGGGGGACCTTTTTGTTTTGCAGCTTGCTTTTCCTTTGGAGTTGAGCTACCACCACAGATCACAGAGCAGTGCAGTGAAGAATGTACATCTAAAGCCACGAAAAGCCAAAGCAGGACTTTGAACAAATAATTTGTTTTATCCTCATTTCTATTACCTTGATCCCCAGACTGCTGCATGCAGGTTAGGGGCTGAGAGGAAAAAAGACCAACATTTTAGAAAGCTAAACTATCTGGTCTTGGTGTTGTCATTAATGCCAGGCCAGTTTAGAACCTCCTCTTTAGGAGAAAGAGACTAATTTGGATAATTCTTCTCCTCAGCTGATGATTTTTCATGTAACCTCTCTGATTTTGGTTTTGGTGAGATCTTGACCCTCATGTTAAATTTGCATTTCAATGCAAATTGGAATGTCCAAACAAATGGCAAAGGAAAATAGGCAGAGCATTCACTCATCTGATACCAAGGCACTTCTGTTCTGTGAGAAGCAGTTCCCTAACAAGCCTCTCTGAAGGTGACTGTAGTCCTGATTCCATGTGGCTTGAAATTTTATACTCCTGGGCAAATTTGGTACTAAATAATGTCTGCACTCTTACCTCTTTATTACTTTAAACTTATTTTGTGCAGGTCAAAAGCACTAGGTGATGTGCAAGGCAAAAGAAATCTGAATGAATTCTTTGGGTAACCCCTGCTCACCTTCCATGCTTTGCAGTCTGGGGCAAGCCTCTGGTTGGTCAGTTCAAATGGTTTAGCTTCCAGCCATCACAGCTTACATTGCTAGAAAGCAATATTTTTAGATTATTTTTCCTCCTAGAACCAGTTTTTTCCTCTTTTGCTGCAGATAACTACCTTTTCTTTCTGTAGATTATTTACCCTGTTGGCTGTTTCTGCTTCTGAGGGATGCTGAGAACTTCTCTTATGTGACACTTCGCTGAAATCCAGCCTCAAGAGTAATTTTGCTTTCCTTGTTCTTCTGCTTCTCTGCTGCTGCTAAAAGTTGGCCTTGACAAACAGAGCAATGTTTCTGTGGTGATCCCAGGCTTCTGGGAATGTCTCAAGCACTGTGGGAGCTCAGTGACTTGGTTCAGTGTTCTTGAAGCACAAATTCTGGAGGAAGGGTGAAGGAGCAACTATCACTGCGTATGGATACTGCTACAATCTCTGATTCCAGTCTTTCACAGAATCACTGTCCCAGTTTGGAAGGACAGGAGTCTGCTAAGGAAGGCAGGAGGCTCCCCTGAAATGGAAA